TGGGAGTCACGTTAATAGTTCAATTTTGCAAGTAATTTTTTTAAGCACCAAATGTAATATGCCTTTAGTCTATCACCCTATATATATATGTATATATTATATATATATATATATATATGCATGTATGTATGTGTATGTACATATTTTTCACATTTGCATACCTAATTTCTAACAACCTGTGAAAACCTTTTAGCTGTGCATTTACACACATTTGTATATACATATATATTTAGGTGCATACATGTGCCAACGTTGGCAATACATTTCAGTTCATCACAACCTGTTGTTTCATAGTGGGGTGTGCACAATGTGCCCATTTGGGTTTTATCGACTCATTATTATTCTCTATCCACCGGCGATACCGGTGATTACGCAATTAGAAAATGTACAAATTTAGTCCTCATTCATTGCCATTGCCAATGCTGTTGAAAGGAATGCGTATCTAATATTACTATCTCCATGGGAAATTTAATTAAAATTGCTGTTTATAAAGGGTGATTTTTTAACTATTATCTTTTTGGCAACACTTGTTTAAACAGCTGACACACATTTCGTGTTCTGTATCACTCACAAACATCTTCAGTTTGGTCTATAATTTAACCATGAATCGTCTTACAAACGAACAACGCTTGCAAATTGTTGAATTTTATTATCAAAATGCGTGCTCTGTTAAGAAAGTTCGTAGCACGCTTTTTCCATTTTATTGATCGACTCAGTGAAGCGGCTATAAATAAGCAGACTTGTCGATTTTGCATCCCAAAAATACAAAGCTTGGAGCGGGTTAGGGATTGGTGGCATTATTGGACCGTACTTCTTCAAAGATGATGCGAATGGTAACGTAACTGTGAATGGTGAGCGCTACAGGGAGATGATATCAAACTTTTTTTGCCCAAAATGCTAGAGCTTGACTTGCATGTGGTTTCAACAAGACGGTGCCAAATGCCACACACCACGCGTAACAATGGACTTATTGAGAGGCGAGTTCGGTGAACATTTTATTTCACGTTCGGCACCGGTCAATTAGCCGCATTGATCGTGCGATTTAACGCCTTTATACTATTTTGTGGGGCTATTTTCAATCTTATGTCGATATAGATAAGACCGCTGCCTTGAAGGACAAAATTGAAGCATTTGTTCGTGAAATATCGGCCGAAATGTTGGAAAGAGTATACCAAAATTGTACCAAGTGGATGGACCGTTTGAGGCGCAGTCTCGGACAACATTTGCATTAAATAATCTTTAAACATTAAATTATATAGACGAAGTATCCTATAGCTCTTAAAAAATCACCCTTTATGATTTTTGGTGAAAATTAAAGTCAAATTCTTTGAAATTGATTCTTCTTCTGCCCTCAAAGTTAATAGTAAAAATCTAAAATCTTGGTGAAGTTTCAGGTTCTGAACTAACATAAATTCTAGAGTTTTGTGTCTGCACCTTAATATTTATTAACAAACATATTCACATTTTACAACAATAAACTTAACATATTAACGGTATAAAAAATAGTGAAATTTCAAAACGATCTCTATCCTTTGTCGAGTACAAATAAGTAAAATTTTAACACGGAATCAGTCGTTTTTTCGCTTTTCAATGTTACCCATAAAATTCTTAGCATGAACGCCTAGTAATTAGCCGAGCACTACTACTCTGATTTCGAAGGAATGAATCCATATGGGCAAATGGGGTACTTCCACCTACGCCATAAATAAAAATTAAATTTTTAACATTTACATTCTTATTATTGGACGTTTTGGTTGAAACACTTAAAAATGTTATCGTCAAACGAAATGTTATAATTTTGTTAGCTGAGCATCTCGGATTTAAATTTCAACTAAGGTGATATAAAACTAAAATAAAAAAACTGTTTACATTGACAACGAAAATAGATTTTCCTCATCGAGTTAATCCCCACACAGAATTATCTAGAGTAAGATTTTCGTTAATAGAAATTTATTTTAAATAAAAAATTAAGTTAATTTTTCTTATTTCCGGTCGCCTCTCGTCATTTCAACACCTTTGAAGTGTATTTCTGATATAAAATGAAATCACGCCATAAAAATCCATCAGTCATTCTTAGTATAAACTGTAGGACCTTCCATTTGTAGGGAAAACATCAAAATGGATATCACAAATGGGAGGAGGAGCTCGGCAATCTTATATGTATATAAACATTTAATGTCTGTTTGCAAAGATCCGGTTTTCTTCGATTTGTTTGAAATTCTATCAGATTGTTTCTATGGTCCCTGGGAAGGGGTATTCGAAAAAAATCTCGGTAAGTGGACCAGGGACTGACCTATTCCAAAAGGTTGTATTTATGATTCGATTAACTTAAAATTCGGTACATAGGTAGCTTCTACTACTACTCTTCTCTCGGGCAAGTAGACCAGGGTCTGGCCTATTTAAAAAACTCGTAGTTATGGTTCCGTTTATTTGATATTCGGTGGCTTTTCTGAACAAATCGTATTAATAGTTCTGTATTGGAAGCGTATTGTTTTTTAATATATTCGTAAGTATACGCTTACGAGCTCATACGAGGTGAGACAATTAAGTAAGGAGACTGATAACATAAATACCATATATTTCAAAATTATTCTACAACTGTGTCATCCCCTTCAAAGTAGTCGCCTTGGGCAGATATACAACGATTCCAGCGTAATTTTGATGCTTTGTAACATTTCTGGAATGCTTCGAATGCGATGTCCGCAAGTACCCTCGTCACGGCCGCATGGATGTCCTTAATCGACTCAAAATGGGGTTCTTTGACCACCGATTTTGCAAGTCACAGGATGACTTATCGGGCGATTAAGGCGGTTGTTCCAACACGGCGATCCCTTTAGAGGCCAAATACTGGGACACGCTGAGGACGGTGTAGCGCGGCGCGTTGTCGTGATGAAGGATCCAGTTACGAGCGATATCTGGGCACACCCTGTTGACTCGTTTTCGCAATCTTTTGAGTACTTGACAATAGTAAACTTGATTTACCCCGGTTTACCCCGGTGGTAGAAATTCTTTGTTGACGATTCCACGGCAATAAGTACCGTTTTCAACTTCGACTTGCTCATGGGAGCTTTTTTTCGGGCGCGGGGTATGCGGAGTCAACCATTGTGAGCTTTGGCATTTGACTTTACAATTCTAGCGTACGTTTCCGAAGCTGTTTAGTCCAATTTGGGGAAAATTTTTAGCGCGACGCGTTACTCTCGATTTCGGCATTTAAGCATCGAAGAAATGACCCACACTTACAAATAACTACATGGATCAATATATCATTTGTAAAGATACTCATATCTTGAAAAGTTATGGCCAACTGAAATTTTTACATAACAAGACTGCCTCCAATTCCTCGATCAACACCAGCTTACCTAAGGTACTCAAAGTTGTGGTGTCGTCTACAAATCCAGCATTTAACCACTAATTTGCATGTCAACCGACCATCCGCTGTATTTTTACGCGCGTTACTGTAAATGAGGAACGGCAAAATACCAATTGGTGGGATTGGGATGGGACTGCGGGGCGGATTAGATTAACCGATAACTTCTGAAATTTAGTGATAACAAAAGAAGATTGATTGAACTATCGTCGCTACAACAAACTAAGATGTCTACGATCTCAACCACACTATTCAGGCCAACATAGAAAGCGATACCAATAAATATAAGTCTATACACACAGTTGTGGATACAGATCAGACAATCAATCATCAAAAAGAGTGTTAATATTAATCAGCCGAAACTTAGCAACGGCACATGAGTCGCAATCAGTAAATTACAGAGGAAGGTAATAGAAGCAAAAATTCTTACCAAATCCTTCCAAGGTGAAGACGTGTTCATTCGTCGAATCCCTAATATTTCATTCGATACTCACTTTTATTTCAAGTGACCACAGTTTCTCACTCGATTAACTTTTGCAATCACAATCAACAAAACTCAAGACAATCTTTGGAATTGTGCGGTCTAAATTGTATGTTGTATGTGACAATTGTGTGTTGCACGTTCAGATAACCTTTTTATTTGCGTCGCCGGTGGTAAAACCAAAAATGACGTACATATACCCACAAGTATTGGGTAAATAAAATTATGATGAAAAGATTAATTTGTCATACATTAAATAAGTATGTGCCACAGCGCAGCGTTGTAGAGTACAACTAGTAGTATAATATGTATAAAAGATTAAAAGCCTGCTGGAACCGCATTTTAATTTCTGTATTGCAGTATTTGGTGTTCTACGGCTATGCAACGTCTATACCTTTCAGCAAATATAGAAACATGGCACAAAAGAAAGGCAGATAAAAACTGGCAGTCAGCTAAACGGAAGTGTCCAACAACAAAGAATTACGATGAGTACATTGACTTGCAAAATATGTTTATATACTGGCTACATTACATGTGTATGTATGTTTAATAAAGAAAATAAAAAGGACTGTTATATTATTCAACACTCTTGCCAGTGCTGTGGTGTATAAAGAAAATGTATTTTCGCAACTGTTTGAACACTCGATAACACTGCAAGAGTCTAAATGCCTTTAAATGTGATAATCAACTGTGAAATATATATATATATATATCTTGATGTTTATTTTCACCAAATGGAGGGACCTACACTTTATACTGAGCCGCCTCCGAAGGTCTGATTTTTTTATGAGGAGCTTCATTTCATGTCCGAAATACACTCGGAGGGTTTGACACTCCCGGCTGAGAGGCGAACGCAATTAGAGAATTTAGCTTAATTTCTTAATTAAATTAGTTTTCTACAACTTTTTGGAAGTTAGTACGACATTAGTATGTAGTACGCAATGCTAACCACTTGGCTACTGTTAACTACTAATTATAGCTACAAATATTTTTCATTTAATTTATTGAGTTTTCTGAGGGAGAAAAATGTCCAAAATCAAAAATTTGCAAAATTTTCCGAATATCTATTTAAACAAAAAAAAGCTTGCCAAAATTTTAAGTTGTGTTTAAAAATATATTTTACTAATACATAATTTCTCTATTTGTTTACAGTTGTACCGCTAGAATTAACTTATCGGCCACTATACAGAGGGAAAAAGTTTCAACTCTCCACCATGTATCCATTCGTAAGTAATTAACATATTGTATACATACAATACATATGTACGTATATATTGTATTTAATTTCAACATGCCTGATTCTCTGAATTTGCATTGTGCATATACTAATTTTAAATTTAAAATACACAAAGAATTATTAATAAACTAACGTAAAGTTTTTTTGAATGTACAAATTTATTATCTTGAATATGAAAGGAAATGCGAAATAAATTTTGCTTTCAACACATTTGTATATACTAAAACTACTACATATTTGTATATATGCATGTACATATATAAAATTTTATATATCAATTTTAAAGCATGTAAGGATGAGTAAGTTTGGATGAATCCGAAATTAGTTATCACTATTGGATGTACAAATTCGAGTTGGACCGTTTTTTCGAGCTCTAAAAAGTGTTTGTTATTAAAAAAAATTTAAAACTATATAATTAAAAGTATTGCTCGCCGGAAGCGACTCTTTTTTTCCCATCTCTCTAGGGATTTTGGAAAATCATCACTGTCCTCAATTCAATCATTGAGCCGCTCGTCCCTAAATCGCTTTGCAACCGTTGGAAAAATGTGTAGTCTCAAGGACCTAGTCTGTAGAGTACAGCTGGCAGAGCGTTGCCATGTTGAAAAGTATTGCAACGTCCAAACGCCTTAGTTTTAGTTGTTTCACATCAATGGTTCTCCCTCATTGGCCATAAATTCCTCCTATTAAAAATTTTTTGGTTGGCAAGTATGATCTTTGTCGTAGACACTAAAATCATCACTTTTGTAGCGCTAAAATTACTCTCTGCATGACCTATCGATCGGCGCGGATTCCGCAAGCATTGGATGGGCTGCACTTTCTTTTTTCATTTCAAATAAAAAATTAAAATTTGCCGCAACGCTGTTTATTTAACACAAGTCCAAATATTTTCGAAGAGGCAAAAAAGTCTGTCAGGAACAGGCGCTGATGCACACTAATCACTCTTGACAAATGTGTAACCTTTCCAATGAAATCGGTATTGGTTTCCAGACACAAAGGAATAACTGTTTGCTGGATATAGTTAAAGTGTTGTGGGGGTTTAAACATTGCCAAGTATCTTGCATACTTAGGTTTCATGTTTAAATTTCTTAACTAACACTTAAAAGTGTAAGCAAAAATCAGTCGTGAATTTTATGCGAGTAGTAATTTTCGTATATATATAGTTATATAAGTGCGCTTGAACTACGCTATATAGCGTTAAAAAGATTATATTTTGTACTAAAAATGATAATGGGAGAAGTGTTGATCACTTAAGTCAGAAGTGAGCTCCAACTCATATTGGAACATGGACATTTTTCTTCGATAAAGTCGGAAGATGTGAAGAGTGTTTATGCCTCTGATTGTCTAATAGTCGATTTCGTTCCGGAAATTTGGATGTAGATGCTCCACGATGTGGAAGGCAAATTCTCGTAAATATCGTAGAAATAATCGTTGATTCTTATTGTTATGTCCGAAAAATCGACGCATTTTTATGAGAATGGTAACTGTTGATGAAGAGTGGAGCACATACAGCAAAGTGAAATGAAAACTTTCGTGTTCGAAGGGCAGTGAACGGACACAAACGGCATCCAAGACAAGAATGACGTCTAAGAAGGTTCTGTTGTGTGTTTAGTAGGACTGGCGAGGAATCATCTTCTATGAGCTACTCCTCTACGGCCAAACTCTTACTTCGTACTTGTAATGTCATTTGGTGGATGGATTAGAATTAGTCTCAAGGGACAAATGTGTCTATGAGAGTGGCATAATGATATAATCTGCTAAATGGCAAAAAGTTGTCGAGAAAAACGGTGCGGTGAGAACCTGACTAAAACATTTTTCGGTCGTCCTGAACCTCCGACAAGAAAATGGTGGAAAAAACGGAGCGTTTGAGAGAATTTAGTGATGTGAAGAATAAAAAACGAGCACGTTGCTCAAGAACAACTGAAAATATTGCTGTTGTAGCCCAAATTGTTAAAGAAAACCCAAGTTTGTCGTTTGTACCTCCTCGTTCTTTGGAATTTGGCACTCCACAACCGTCATTAACTAGTAGTTTGCATAAAGACCCGGGTTTGAGGCTTATAACGTTCAGTTGACGAAAGAACTAAAACCCACCCATTATCAAAAATCCTGTTTGGGTTCTTGAACTGCATGGAAATGATCCGGAATTTCATCGAAACATCATTATTAGAACACACGAGATTTATTGATAAAAAGCTTCTCCATTCTCAACATGTAACGTTTGGTGCGGCTTATGGTCAGGCGGAGTCGTTGGACCCTACTTTTTCGAAAATGAGGCTATAGCTACAGTTAAGTGGAATGGATTGCACTTTCGACAGATGATTAATCATTTTTTGCATCCTAATTTGGTTGGTATTGATCTTGTTAACGTTTGCTTTCAGCAAGACGGCGCTTTTTGCCACAATAACGACAAATCCATTGATATTTTAAGGGAAAAGTTTCCACCATCACTATGACGTGCTCACAATTGGCTACCAAGAAAGATAACGTCTACGCCAACAGAACAACGTCATTTCAAGACCTCAAGATGAATTCATGAAGCTTTTGAAGGCATACAGCAACCACTTTGCGATTTGATGATGGAAAATTTCATTAAATGATACGTTTCTGTAAGCGTAGACATAACGGCCACTTGACTGGCATTGTTTTCCATGGCATACCTTCCTCTTTACATTGAAAGAAAGTAGATCATCCGATCATTTATCTCCGAAATACTTTTTTTTGAATATCAAAATAACACCTCTTATTGGAAAACCCTATATTTATTAGTTTTTTATATCAAAAATTATATTATTATACATCTATATGCATTTATAGTACATATTTATGTATGCAAAATTTAGCTTTTGTTAAATTGGTGTGGTTTGGGAAGTGGCATTTGGTAACCCTTTCCCTTTTATCAGTTGATAACGTTGGCATCCAATTCCGCAAAATTCTTTTCCAAAGAAATAAAATATTTTTAATGCGATTAAATTTTTAAGATATTTGGTTACAAAGCAAAATTCTTAGAGTCTACACTGTACTCTCTTTTTCTTCCATTCTATATTTATAACTGTGCGAAAAACAAATAAAAAAATATATTTTTCCAAATTATGAGTCACCAATGTTTTGCTCTCCACCGCAAAAAAATTGGTCCATGAATCACCCGCACTCACGTGCCAGTCAATTTCACAACAAAAAACACAAAATTTGAATTATCTACACACCTTTGTCTGATCACCTCATTTGCCACTTCCTTTCCTCTAAAGACTATTAAACTCAAATGTAGATATGTATATGTGCTTTTGAATTGATGTTTACATATTTAATTATAATACCTACATACATATATGTGGACTTGGCAAAAAAAAACGCTTAGTAACGCACAATCAAATTCAGTTAATCATCGCACTTACTTGAACAACCGGTTAAAACGTTGTTTTTTTCGTCTTCTTCTAAAAATAACTTATATACATCATCATTATTGGTACATCTTTTATAGGGTTCCGGCATGCCACAGCCCAATTCCAATTCACCATACCATAATAATCACAACAATCCAAATCCTGGTGCGCCAGTTGGCGTACCCTTTGGTGCTGGCTGGATAGCGCCAACACAACACGCCACCAACTCCCCTCATCACATGCAACATCAAAATAGCTTGCATTACCAACCATTACCCACTCAGCATCAGACACCATATCCGACAAGCAACAATCCTACTCAACACCAACCAGCTCCCTATCCGCCAATAAGCTCAGCCCACAATACACCCTATCCAGGTTCTTCATATCCACACAATCCCCAACACGCACAGGCTCCGTACCCATCTGCTTCGGGCACACCAACGCATGGCACGAGCGGTAGTGTAGGGTTTCATGCGACCTATCCATCACACTCGCCCCATTACACACCACCGGCCACACATCCGTCGTATGCGCCGACACATGGATATACGCCGGTACCGACGTCGAGCGGTTATGAGTCGCCAGCAGGAAATATGGCACATTGCTTCCAAGAATTAGCCCACCTGCAGGGTAATGTGCTGCACCATCATCAACCGTTTGCACGAAGAGAGGTTTGTGTCTGAAGATTTACATGCGTTCATATGTAAGGGTCAATTGTATGGAAACAAAAGATAAATAAAATGGGATATTGCTAAGTACCTTTGTTGCTAGGCAAAATTCGAAAAATATTGAATAAATCATAACATTTTCTAAAATCTAATGTCTGAAGTTAAATCTGATTTAATAACGGTTTTTATGTATAAATTAGATCAGAATCCATTAATCGAAATTTACGTCTTCCGTTCTGCCAAATTTGAAACTCTGCATTTTGACACAATCACACAAATATATACCAATATCCCGTGCATTAAATTCTGATTGCCTGAGTAAGATGAATTGCATGCAACCGTAAAAGACGCTTGTGATAACCCGCATTGAAATTTTATTTTATTATTTTGCTTTTTTTACATTTAGGCAATAATCCAGACATGACATCCATTAAAGGAGAGGAAAACAAAATTATTTAATTATAAAACCTTTAGTGTAAATTTAGTTCTTAAGTTTTAACGATTATTTTATTTCATTCATTACTGAATACAATATTTAATCTTGAAACGTAATAAAAATCAATATTAAAATATTACTAACAATTCTTATGATATTATTTGAATAATAAACAGTCAAAATAATTGCTGTAGGTTATGAGAGACGAATTTAAGTTAATCCTTTTGAGAAAAAAACTCAACGCGAATTTAACAACTAAATAAACGGTAATTATTGTTTTTGTTCTCCTGCTCTCACCTTCATGAATTCGCCTTGAGAAAACTCAGAACCTTATTGAAATACAGCCTTGGCCAAAAGTATTAGGCACCCCACTAATTACTGTATGTTTTCTATTAACAAGTGAAGTAATGAAGTTTTATTAGTAAAACAGTGAAAATGAATTAGTGATGAAAACATTAATATTCAGTAGGTCCACACTTCGATTTAATAACGGCAGCAATTCTCTTTGGCATGCTGCGTACAAGCTTTGCTCATTTGTCCGCACTTAAAGCGTACCACTCGTTAATAAAGGCGTTCTTTAAGACAGGTTTTGATTTTATACTGTATTTCTTAAACTTACGTTTCAAAATAGCAAACATGTGCTCAATGGGATTAAGATCTGGAGACTGTGCAGGCCAATCTATCACAACAATGTTGTTATCTGTAAAGCAACGCATGGTAGTCGCTGATTTGTGGTAGGAGCATTTTCTTGCTGAAATTGAACCCCCTTCTAAATTAGCATCGCCGAAAATGTGCGTTAAAGAAGGCAGAAGAACAGCTTCTAATACATTTATGTACTTTTGACTGTCCATGCGACCCTCGCAAACGAACATTTTGCCGACACCATCAGCAGCCAAGCAGCCCCAGATCATAATGATGCCTCCTTCATGCTTAACAGTGGGTGCCACGCAATCTGGATGATATTCTTCCCCAACCCGTCGCCTCACGAACGTCACACTAGGTGTTCTGTACTTTAAGATGATCTTAACTAAGCTTAACTCGAAGTTTGATTCATAAGACCAATCTTCTTCTATGAAATGTTGATATCGGCGAACCCTTTCCAAACGATTTTTCCTATTCCTTTCTGAGAGTCACGGCTTCTTTCGGGGTTTACATCCTTTTAAACCTGCTTCCTGAAGTCGTCTTTTAGCTGTTCGAGCACTAACTAGTTTACTAAACTCATCCGCAAGGGAGGAAGAAGATTTTTTGAGACTCGCGTAAAAGTATTCGGTCTCCTCGTTTACTGGTTAGACGCTTTCTCTCACTTTTTGATTTATTATTGTTTAATTTTCGCTTTACAAATCGCCTGATGGAACATTGGACTGCGCACCACAAACATCCCACCAAATTGCCAATCTAACCTGAGACTTACCTTCTTCACTTAGAATTTTAATTCTAACTCCATCATCGTAACTATTTTCACTTTCAAATTTTAAATGCGAAAATATTTTATGAATTTTTTAAAAATGACAAATTTTAGGATAAGCTTACCCAGAGTGTTATGACTTTTAATATTACACAATTTATTCGTTTAATCAACAGTTAAACACCCATTTAATAAAAAGAGAAGTGGTAACTTTGATAGCCACATTTCAGAATAATTGTATTTTAGTTGGGGGCCTAATACTTTTGGTCGAGGCTGTAAAATAATGTAGAGCCCATGATACAAAAATCCTGTAGGGTAGTTTCACATCAAAATTTTTAACAGTAAACGTGTTTGTTCAGAAATGTTTGATCTTGCCAATTATAAAATATTTAACTTGGAGATTTTTTAATTATTTTTTTTTGGGTTATCTTCTTAGCAGTGCTACAGTATTGAATTCAAGTAGGGATCTATATATATTTGTTTCAAGACATTTGCCATAGGTTGTAGAAGTAAGAAAATATGCTTTTTATTATAAATAAAATGGCAAACGTCGACATTTTTCACTTTTTTCGAAACTTAGCCTTATAGGGTTTCTCGACTGTATGCGAAAAGTCTATGGTTTGGCTACCTGGTCATAGGGACACCCCAGGGAACTGCGTGGTTGATGAGCTGACCGATAGGAAACAATCACAATGTCGGTAGACTGTGTTCATGATGTAGGCATACCTCTTTCCGATGCTAAGTACATATTATATTTGTTAAGACTAGCCTTTACCAGAAGAGCCAACAGCAGGTGAGAGAATGGAACCATGAGCAATTGATCGAAGTGAATAGAACTAAATTCTTACTCCTTCTAAAGAGGGTCTCCATAAGTATAACAACCGGACAATGGATTGTGGGGACTCATGGCAGAAGGATGGAATGTTATTGATTAATCGGAAATTTCTTCTCCGATTGCCTAGCAGAGCAATCATCTCTAGGCATCATTAATATCCTGAATTTCGTAGAGCAACTTGAAAAGTGAGAGGAATTTTCTTCACAGAACCAACATCGAGCAACCGGTTTAACTAGCTAACTGACTATAGATTTCCAAATATCAATATAATTAGCAGTTAGAGTGAATTCAAAACTGTTTGGCATTTAATCGACTTAAACGACTTTTAGCGTAATTAAGAGATTTATATAATGAATTTGCACTGCTCTAAAAGACCTAAAATTATTAAAACAATATCCTCTCTGCTTTCTTTGAAACATCTCTAAACCTGTGAGATGGGCCAAATTCAGTCAGCTCCTCATCCTCTTGAACTCGATGCAAATTTTGGTGTGCAAATCTCTTTACTTTCCTATATTTTCTTACAATTTCCTATAGTTGTAACACAACAATCATGGAAGACATACACACTCGATGTGTTGCAAAATAAAAAATCGCGTGATTTGCTCTACATATTTTTTGATTTAAAAGTGCTAGATTTTTTTTAAGAGATTATAGTAGCACGAAAAAGACGAAGCATCTCAGAAAGCTATTAAGGCGACTGCGTAGAGAGAATGAAACTACCTTTAAATTATTTTATCATGGTAAAGACCTCCGGGTGTATTTCTGCCACAATTGGAGAGCTTTGGCAGATATAGCAATGGAGAGGGTTACTACAATCGTTGCAATATAATCAGTTTCATTATTTTATTGTCATACCTTGTAAAAGTAAATTGAATTTGAACCACCGATTTCGTTCTAGGGCACACTTGTAATTTTTATTCATATTAATTCTATTTCTCCTGTACTTGGAGCCTCGCAATTGCGAATAGAATTATTCAAATAAATTATATAAATTTAAAAAATTCTAGGAAGGGAACTTATGTATTGCTAGAATTTTCATTTTTATACTTTAAATATTTTAAATTTTTTCCTCTTATACTTGATAAGTATTTTGGGCTTAAAATATGAAAACTGTATTTAATTTCTTCAATAATACAGAAAATTGAAATTTTGAAATTCCAATCTTAATTGTAATTATTTTTATTATTTCATATATTCTTTTCAGGGCACTCCAACGGTATTTCCAGCGCAGAATTTCGATCCAGTCAAGGATGCTCATGACTTACGAAAAGCCATGAAGGGTTTCGGTACAGACGAAGATGCATTGATTAATATAATTTGTCGTCGTTCCAATGAACAGAGACAGGTAATGTTTTAAAGTTAATGAAAACATTAATTGCTCTTTACTATATTAGAGTAGTTGTTATAATTTATGGTAAATAATTTGAAACTGTCAGCTGTAACTTTATGAAGTAAAAGTTATTGGTCAAAACAGGCTTGCTCTGCGTGATTGAGAGAAAAATGAAAACCACTTTGAAATTGTTTTGTGGATTTATCGAAACAGCGCATAAAAAGCAATAATATTAACATTTTTTTTTTTTGAAACTAGCAAATATGTGTGCTAAATATTTAGAGGTAATTTTGTAACGCTTTCCAAGACTTTAGATCCACCAGCATCTATCCAACATTTTCAAAAGTGTTTGAAAAATATATTTCCGTTTAAATTGTATCAAACATAATTCCTTGCTGCAAAAATTATTTTATCCATATATCCATGTACAGTGGCTCAAAAATGAACTCGGACACACAAGTTGTATGACTTTAAACAAAAAAAAAAAAAAAATTTAATAAAATGCAAATCGAGGGCTTTCAACGAAAACCATAAACTAAATTCAACTCGGTCGTATTGAAATAATATGAACATATTAACTTAACAAAACTGATGACAAAAAAGAACTCGGACATATAGATAGGATAGAATTTAAAAATATTATTTAAAGAGAAACAAAATATTCTTAATATTTGGTCGGCAAGCCTTTCCTTTTTCGGATAGCATTCAGTCTTCTTGGCAGAGATTCAACTAGCTTTTTGCATGTTAAAGAATTTATTTTCCGCCACTCTTCCAAAATAGCGGTCTTTCTTATTTCTAATAAAATGCATTTTCAGTTTATTTTCCAAATGAGGACAGTTATACATCAGCCATAGACGGAGATCAAGTGCTTTATGCTGGGGATCGTTGTCTTGGTAGTACTGGAAATTGTCTTTAATTCCATTACCATTACTGAGCCGCCTTCGTGTTTAACAGTCGGACGTAAATTCTTTTCTAGCAACTCTTCATTAGGTTTTCTCCAAACATAAGACTGTCCATCTGACCTAAATATATTGAATTTGCTTTCATCTGCAAATAAAACTCGTTTCCAGAATAGAAAATTCCCATCCCCATGACATTTTGCAAATTTTATCCTTTTGTTTCGGTTAACCTCGTTTATAAATGGTTTCTTCCGCGCTACTCGTCCATTATAATTATTTTTTCTTTTTAAAATGCCATGGATATGTAATACCAGCAGATGTCCGACTTCTCTTTTGGCGAAATTTCTAGCATACCACATGTTAATTTTTTGAAGCAAGGGTATAGGAGACCTATAAACTATTTAATTTGTTTGTTATTGGTACTTTCTAAGTCCTTATTGGATACCCCATAGAAACATAAAAAACAAAAATGCTTAATATCAATTGATAAAAAAAATCTAATAACAGTGGAATGTATGTCCGAGTTCTTTTTTGATCCACTGTATATGCCAATGATACTCAGATTAATGTAGACAGAGTTCCTACATGCTAAGCCCACCATTCCCTGATTTTGGATCAAAAAATCGATATTTATTTGTATAGTATATGTCATCATACGACAAATATTTTTCAAATGCTAGCTTCTCGAACACACCTCAGAATACTTTGAACATCCATGTTTTCCGATCTAACTACAAGCTCCGGGATTGATCTGATTTCTTTTGCCTTAATATGTTTTAAAGTATTTAGATTTTTGTACGTCTTGAACCTAAGATTATTATTAATAAATAATTTTTTAACGTAATTGAAGTGAAAAAGTAGCAAAAAAATATCTTTATAATTGCAATGAGCGTTATTTAATAAATTTGTCGTTAAAATTGTTTCCGCTTGAGGTTCAGGACGATTTTTGATTTTAGTCTATTACAAGAGCCTGTAGGCTTGAAGTTATTGGGCCATGTCTCGCGCGCAGAATCCGACGGAAAGCGCCATTTTGTAGCCCTCCTTTTGAGTTTCAACTATTTTTTTGCTGTCTTAAAATCTCAAATAATAAACAAATTTAATAGTCAAAACCAGAAGTTCGTACAACTTTTTATTCTCCCACAAAAAAAATACAAAGTTTGGCTGATTTTTGCCCAGGGGGGTATCCTGAGGAAACGAAGGTACTTCCGATTAAAAGTAATTATCGTCATCTCAATAATATAATATGTCACCAATTGTTTTTGAAAGCTTTGAATTAAAATTTTACCATGTTCTTCCCATTTACTTGTGATCATCATTTCAATCATTGCACAATAAAATTATATTTCAATCTTTCTCTTTATATTGAAATAAAAATCCGTTCCTTTATTAGAAAAAATTCATTTTCTTTGAATATCAAAATATCACCTCCTTTTGGGCAACCTTTTATTACAAATTTATTAAGTTGTACTAAAGTATAAGAAATGGAAGATATGATCCCACCAAAATTTCATGAATTAATTTGCTATATATTTTTATTTGGAGCTTTGTAATCGGTGAAGTTATTTTCGGCCTAGGACCAGGATTAGAACCCTGACCTTCAGGATGGCAATACCCAATGATAACCACTTGGCTATTGCGGCCGGAAATGTCACTATAAGTCGTTCAAATCGCTTAAAGGCAGAGGTAATGTTCCACTGGTTCCTTGAGAAGCAGCACATCTTCTATCTTATTACGCCGATTGTTATGCTTATGGTTATCCTGTTTAGAAGGAATAAAGACTTAGTTCAGTTCACTTCGATCAGTGACTGCATTTGTCTGATAACATTGCTCTTCACCCTTCTGGTGAGCAAAGAGGTATGTCCACGTCATGCGCAGAGTTTACTGTTCTGTTTCTTTTCTGGTCAACTCGTCGACAACGCAGTTTCCTGGACTGTCCCTATGACCAGAGACTCAAACCACGGAAGTTTCCAATAAATATAAGAACATAAGTTTCAACGAAAAGTAAAATAAGTCAACCCTTTTCAATTTATTTATAGTAATAAAGCATCTACCAATTTCCTTTCATACTCCCGCCTAAAAAAAGTATCTGCTTACCCAAGAATAAATAAAAAATCTCCAAGTTTTATAACCTTTAAGTGGCAAGATCAAATAATTTTGGGCAAACACGTTTAGTGGAAAAAATTTATAAGTGAAACTACCTTATAGATTTTTCCTATGATCGTTCAAGTCGAAAAGTAAAATTTAACTTCGAATCACTATTTTTGCAGAACACTCAAAATGAAGAGTTTACTTTTCGAATTTCATGTCATTCCCCTATTGTGTCTGGAACATGGGTGATTAATTCAATAATTCATTTTTATTTCTTAAAATTTTTTTTTAAATAGCTCAACAGTAGAATTTTGGCGTTTTTCTTAGGGCGTCTGCAAAAATTAGTCACTGCAATGTATATTTGCATAATAAAAGGTTTTCCAATAAGAGGTGTTATTTTGAGTATGCTGCTATGAAGGGAAAGATGTCTAATGTGAAGCTTTAATGTTTTCACAATTGACAATTAAAAACAATAAAAATGGAACGATACTTCAACAACGCTTTGAAATTATTAAAATTCACTAAAAAAAAAGTCACCGAAAAATTATCCCGTCTGATGAGGCACATTTCTGTGTGACATCTGGAGCTCGAAAAACCAAAGATTTCTTCTTGAAAGGCCGCTTCAACTGCGGTTTATGGACAGGCGGGGTCATTAAACCTTACTTTTTCGAAAATGAAAGGTTTGCATTATCGGGAGATGATTAATGATTTTATATGACCGGTGTTGAATGGTAATGATCTTGACTGGGTATACTTTCAACAAGGCGGAGCTATTTACCACACAATCTTTTAAGGGAAAAGTTTATTTGAATACCAAGAATAACACCTATTATTGGATAACCTGTTTGAATTAAATTGTCTATAGGCCAGCAAAACTTTCTTTTACATTTTTTGTTTATTTTCGTGGTAATAATGGTAATAATACATAATTTTTTAGTGCTAAAATTCGCCCACTTGCATTAAGTCAACAAACTTGAGGTCAGCTGCGTTTGAGTTTCATGTTTGTAAACCTCTAAATCTCGTAAGTCAAAATAAAAATTCTACTTCTGGCAGCTGTAAATATATTGCACTTGAATAGTATAGAGCTAAACAGTTTAATCTAAAGCGCAAAAAATTAGTTTGCACTGTAAATATATGCCTAAAATACTTTTGATTGACAGAAAAATACTGCATTGCTTTCTCTCAGACGTTTTAATATTCAGGGTGACAATAAACTTGAAAAAAATATGACTGTTGAGGCAAGCCTTCTGTTTGCTTTCGAAGCTTAACGGTGGTGAGCTATACTAAAATAACGCAAAAAGCTTTTACCATAAGCAAAAGTACAAGAGCCCAACCATAATTTTATAGTTCTCTGTGTATAAAACTATTTGCAGCGCAAAAGACAAAATACAGCTAAAAATATAAATTAGAAATCTAAAAAATTAAATTCACTTTTATTGTTTAGTTGCATATAATAAATAACCGTTACCGCTGAAGCGATTTTCCGCCGAGGTCGCCTCAGTACGGCCGATGGATTTTTATGAGTAGCCTTCATTTTATTTCAGAAATACATTCATTGCCGAGGGGCGATGGAAATTGAAAAAAATTAATTTTCTATAATTTTATGTTGGCCGGCTCAGTACTCAAATACTGGGCTTCCGAATGTCAATTCGTGCTAATAACCACTCGCCTATTGCTCCCGTTGTTGTCGTAGTAATAATCGCAAAAATTGTTGCCTAATTGATTTTCAGCAGTTGCAGTCCTTGGCCGGATGAAAATCCGGGTCGTTCCAATATAAAGACCCGACTGTCGCGATAACTTTGAGGTTTTAGTTCTCTCATACGACAGGCATGCCTTAGCCGGGGTGAATTATGGAGGCCTATTGTATATACTACTGATAAATTAGAACATTTGCATGTTAAGAAATAGCTTCAGAGCAGCAGAATTAGAGCGATTTAGAAGTTTTGTCTCTTACATTGCAAGCTCGTTACTTGTGTATGACACTTGTTTTATCGTATAATAATTTTAAATATCGGTATAACTTTATTTCTGCTTTTAATATGCCAGGAGATACAACGTCAATATAAAACCCATTTCGGCAAGGATCTTATTGAGGATATCAAATCGGAGACTAGTGGCAATTTCGAAAAACTACTAGTTGGACTTTTGCGTCCGATTGTCGACTTCTATTGTGCAGAGATGAATGATGCAATGGCCGGAATTGGTACAGACGAGGATGTATTGATAGAAATATTATGCACCTTGTCGAATGTGGAAATACACACCATTAAAAATCAATACTTGCGTTGTAAGTTGTAAATTAAATAATTTATGTATATATGTATTGTAGGTAGATATAGTCAGGCTTTAATTAAATGAAATTCAACTTTTTTTTAGTATATGGCGCCCATTTGGAATCTGAACTAAAGTCGGAGACTTCTGGTAACTTCAAACGTTTGCTAGTCTCACTGTGTACGGCGGCACGCGATGAGAGTGGCCAAATTGATCCGGTTGCCGCACAGGCTGATGCACGTGAGTTACTCAAAGCTGGCGAATTGCGTGTGGGTACTGATGAGAGCATGTTTAATATGATATTGTGCCAACGTAACTATCAACAGTTGCGACTGGTAAGTGAAAAACTTTTCAATTTGTTCCACATATGAAGTACATAATGTTTGGATTTTTAGATATTCCAAGAATATGAAAAAATGACTGGACATACATTGGAAAAAGCCATACGCAAGGAGTTCTCAGGTGACATAATGGAGGGATTGGTTGCCATTTACAAATGTGTCACCCACAAAACTGAATACTTTGCCGCCCGTTTGCACAAGAGTATGGCTGGTATCGGCACCAACGATAAACAACTGATACGGGTCGTAATTACACGCTCCGAGGTGAGTGGAAATTTTTAATTACTGCCATTAAATATTTTCACAAAGCATTGTATTATTTTAGATTGATTTGGCTGATATTAAAGCGCAATTCGAGAGAATGTATGGCAAGAGTCTGAAAAGCTGGATCAAGGTATCTACCGTTAATGTTCAATTTACAATACATTTTATCTACAAATGCGAAATAGCTAAAGTAAATTAACTTATTATTATAATTTTTTCTTTTCATTTAGGGTGACACATCGGGTCACTATAAACACGCTTTATATGCTCTCGTTGGTGAACAACGCTCCTCCTAAGTGCCTGAATGAACGTTCCACACACACACATGAATTCATAAAATTATATATTTACATACATGAAAATGTCTTAAAACTTCAAAGAAGTACATATACATATTACATTTACATAATTAATTTGTATTATTTTCGCGTACTTCTCATTTTAATATGCTATTCGAATATATTATATTATATGTTGTATTATGTATTTTGATTCTCGTTGTTGCACACAGTTCCTTCCTCGGTGTGGTTTCATATTATAAACACTCGACAATGTACACTGCTTAAATACAAATTATAAACTAAATAAGTATCTATTAAATTTAAATATTATATATTTTATTTTATTATTTTTTGTGCTATTTCGTATTAAATGTAATGAATCTGCTGGAAATCTCAATTACAAAAACGCTATAAATTTTATATGAATCTTACAATTTTTATATTTAATGAAGAATAATGCCAAAATGCATTTAATTATTTATGCATGCCTATGGCATCTCAAATAAAAACAAATGCAAACAAATATTGTTGTATTCTATTCTTAATGTTAGTATAATAACTATACATTGTTATACATGCATACAAATTTAATTCATTAATGTTTTCGAAAATAAAAGTTTATGCATAAACGCATACATATATATATATATATATATATAAATACATGTGTAGACTCAATTTGGTAAATGAATTTAGCTAAAATCTTCTATACACAAACTTCCTGCGTTCCAACTTAGACGTGGCAATTTAAAGCACTGCAACATGGAATTTAATTTTTAAGCCTAGAATAATTATTATTATTTGTTATACGCAAATTTCTCTAAAGTCGATTGCGACATTCGCACGCAATCAAAGTGAAAAATGCTTATACCAAAACATTTTTAATTATAGCTCTTGATTATCACCATAATTGATGCTACAGTAGGTGTTGACCAATTGTTCGTTTTCACGATAATTACAAAAAATCAACAGAAAAGGGACAACCTACCTTGATAGACCACAATACAAGCGGGGTGGAATAGATACCGATAGCTGAAGAGAAAGCAAGACACATTGGAAGACGAAAGCAGAGAGAGGCCGAAATGCGTGAGTATGAGGAGCTTGAGAAGCTGGCTGACACGGGTAAATGCTCAGAAATTATATGAAAGATTGCGGTAACTTCCTGCTCATGCAGGAATAAATGTAAATCTGATGCTTTTTGTCCAGAGCATGCTATTGTTGTTGTTATTGGAGCTCGTTAACCCTGCTTAGGGACAATAACAACAACAACTGGGAGATCCAGAAAGCGTACTGTTTCGACAGAATCAGACCAGAGTTAGAGGAAGGGTTAGAATATTCGATTTTAGGATGCATGTAAAAAAGTGGTTAGTGTTGTGCGGAGACTTTCTATATAGAGGGCATACGTTGGGTATGCTGGCGTCGAATAGGAGTTTAACCTTGTACAATATCCAGACCTTAGTTGCGTTAGCGTCACGCGCTTCTCTCGAGGCAGATTGATCTATTCGTCTGCAATACGTGGTGCTTTTACTCCGAGTACGCCGTTTACGGGAAGGGAATCTTCGAAGGTATTGACTGGCTCGTGGTGAATGTCTGCAGTGCTTGTCCTGTCCAGCGGTTGTTACACGTGTTGCTGGATGGTCTCCTTCATGTCTAGTACTCCCTTCCTAATGTGCCGGGGTGGAGGTTCAGCTTCAATGAGATGGCTATTGGTGTGCTCCGGCCTTCCAATTGTTTTGTAGGTTGCCAGCAAGGTTTCTTTATCTTTACCCATGGTGCTGCCGGCTAGGGCTTTGGGTATCTTGTTGCGGATCTGGAGTTTTGCGGCAATTGCGGTCTTATGCGGAGTGAAGGAGTGCAGGCTCGGAATTTTTCATCGATAATCACATCTAGTTCGAGCCTGTATTCTTTCGTCCAGCTGGTAAGAGGGCAGCGGAGAGTTTGGTCGGTTGGGTTTTGGGCTGTCTTTCGAACAAAATTCTTCAATATCCAAGCCAGACGCCAATCGAATAATCATCGGCATACGAGATCAATAAAAACTCTTTTGGTGGAGGAGGGAGTTTCGAAATGTAGAAATCAAACAATAGTCCAAAACATACTTACGTGTATGGAGGAAACCCTTCTCCGGCATACTCCATGTTAGTGAAAATACAACAACCAGAGATGGCGAACCCAAAACCTCATTCAATGGATCATGGAAAAGACGTTACCTGACCATGACGAGGTTCGAATATCGATTGCACGCTTAAAGAGCAACATTGGGGCTGGGGCTGATGGCCTACCGGCAGAGCTATTCAAACATGGCGCTGAAGAGCTGGCAAGCTGCATGCATCAGCTACTTTGCAAAATATGGCCGATGATTGGAATTTAAATCCATAAAAATGGGGACTTCACAGTCCGGGCTGACGCTACACAGCACCAGAAGCGCAGTCAGAATTGGGAAGGGCGTCCCCAAGCCGTTCATTACTAAACGAGGTCCGCGCCGTGAGTTCTGCTTTTTCCAGGCTGGATAAGGAAGCGAAGGATATGGACTTGTTAGTCAACGAGGGCAATGCGAAATATTTGCTGTCATCAAACAAATAGTCATTTCATTCGCGTCAAACGAGGACAAAACTCTACAAGTCGTCCATCGTTATATAGTGCGGAAGCATGGACCTCTGGCCTATTGTGAGTTCAATGCCGAATACCGTAGGCGATGGAACGATAAGGGGTACGAGTTATACGGCGACATTTATATAGTTCAGCAAATCAAGAAACAACGGCTTCGCTGGCTAAGTCATATGATCCGGGTGGATAAGAAACCTGCCCGCCGGTGGAAGCAGAGGAAAAGGAAGACCTCTACTCCGATTGAGAGATCAAGTGGAAAAAGACCCCATATTCATGGCGAGAACGAGGCTTGCTATTACCAGGAAATTCCGTCTTCTACTAGGCAGTGAGTTTTTAAAGCACAATTCCCACCTTTTCTGAAATACATTACGATGGGGTTAATCATAGCTGCTTAATATAGGTCCAAAAAATATACTCATTTTCACTATAACTGAACCGGTCGAATAATTGGTAGTTGATTTAAGCTGAATTAAGATTTTTGCTTTACTATCTGACAGGGCCGTAGGCAGGAATTGATTTTAAGGGGGTTTTGAAAATTTTCTCCATAAATGGCATACGATAGATTTGCTTTCCGTTTAATTATTTTCATAACATTCTCGGTAAGATAAACATATAAACTTGTCTGAAACTGCATACTCTGAAGCGAAAAACTATGTCCTTGAGCAGCAAAAAATTCTAATGCAACAATTTTTGAAAGGTATATTAGTATTAAAATAACTGGGCCAATACTTGATTTACAACTCCCATTATCTTTGACTGAATAAGCTAACCAGGCGTATTCCTGCAGCCAAGATCTTAGGAATATCAAGTTACGTGGTCCGGAAACATGGAGGTATCGCAAGGAATCCAGATCTTGTCTTGAAGCCCAACAATTCAGTATATGACATCAGCCGTTGATTTATTGACAAAAAATCCAATGTCATATATATGAATTGGTACTGTAGAATTCACTGTAGTTCCACGACGAACGTCCAACTAAATTGATAATGATGAGAAAGAGCATAATTTCATTTTGCTTTTTGGGTGAGATATTTCAAGGGGTTATATACATAGTTTGGTTTCAAAAAATAAAAAATAACTCTTTTTCATGTTCTACTGTAAAAGTATTTAGTGTCGAGATTTTTGTTTTAAAATTTCATGCCAATCGGAGCCACTATATCGTAATTTACAGCAGTGCAAAGTGTACCATCTCCGCACACAACTATGATTTCAGCAAAATAGCCGCCCGTACTCAAAAAATCACTTAAGGTTGGAAGAACTTTATTTATATAAAGGTTTTCGGGCTTGCTGATTGCGAATTTGGTGTTTAAATTTCGAAATCTGAAATGGCTTATCTAAAACGGCGAACACTATGAGGCATGTCAATATTTCTACACTGTACGTCTATAAAAAAGTGTAAATTTACCGTTATTGATGGGTAACTTTGTGTTACCAAGTCTGAGATTGGGAAAAGGGCAAGGTTAAGAATCGACGCCCTGGGTAACTCTCAACCCAAAATCAAAGGAATCCATTCCTTGCCTTGGTAAATCTCCCTTATATCAGTCATTTTAAAAGTGACGGTAGATTTGACCTAAATATTTATCACTACAAGGCTAAAAGGTTTACAAGTTGCGTTTCAAAGTAAGCAGGACTTTTTGAATCAAGCGCCCTCTAGTGGCGCCATCTATATGCTTTAGAATCTGCTATCCCTTATCGACTTCCAGTAAAACTTTCATGACATTTCATCAATTGGACGTAAAGTTATTGCGTTTTAAGTGTCAGTATGTTTTTGGCTTCGAACAAAGAGCCAACATGCTTTTGGACCATGCAAAAAGCTGCATTAAAGCAGAAGGAGACTATTTTGAATAAAATTAATTGATTTTGTTCTGCCTTTTTTTTAAGTCCTGTTTACTTTGGAACGCACCTTGTATTATCATTCAATTTTTCTATTTATAGTAGATTAAGAAATAGATTAGCTGGTATAATTCAAGCCCATTTCTTAATAAATATTATATTTCGTTTGTAATTTACCAAAAAGAATTTTTTTCACTTGGATTTTCTATGCAATGAAGAGTCCGATATTCCAGATATAATTGATTGTTTTTATATACTTATACCGTCATTGTCGAGTCTTGGTCTCTTACATAAGAAACGACGAATTATAATCTATGCATGGACTTCAGTTTCTTCGAAATTATATGATACAGAAACTTAACAACAAATGCAATATGAAGCATGTTAGGAAAAAAAGCGTTGAATGGAAGTATTATCTATTTTGCACTGCGATGTGTGGGAAGTAAGTGGTCAACACAAACCATGTACGATTGAATTTAGCGATACCAAAGGCACGAACCACACCAAGCCATTTCATGCGCACACCACTATGAAATTTGCAGCTGTGCCTGATCGTATGATATACGAGGTGTGTTCAAAAAGTATCGCGAATTTTGAGTTTTCACGGGTTACGTATAAGCGAATTTCGATTTTTTGTGGCGTTATGTTGGTACTCATGTCTGTCACTTATGCCGATAAGCTCGGCTATTTTAAATGTTCACTTAATTGTTGACTGCTGCTTTGCTTGCACGTGTTTTGGATGGTCTTCGATTTTTACCTATTCAAAAAAATGGATCAAAGAACCTGTATCAAATTTTGTGTGACTGTGGCATACGGAGAAGCTACCTTGGACCGAAGCAACGTTCATCGGTGGTATAAAATGTTTTCAGAAGGCCGAGAAGATGTGAACGACGAAGAGCGTGCTGGACTTCAACAACAGACGAAAATATTAAAAATTAATTGCAGTGGCGGTGCATCATGAGTTCGGTCAATAAGGAATATTATCTGCAAGTTATGCGCAATTTGCGCGAAGCAAACGGCCAGAAACGCCCGGATTTGTGGAAGAACAAAAATTGGCTTTTGCACCACCATAACGCCCCTGCTCCCACATTGTTGCTTGTGCGAGACTTTTTGGCAAAAACAACACACTAATGATGCTGCAGCCACCGTATTTTCTTGTTCCTTAAACTGTAGAGGCCCATGAAAGGAAGACGTTACGCTACGATTGACGAGATAAAGACGTTGAAGTGCTTCGAAGATCTGAAAAACTGTTGGCTTAAGTGTATAATATCTCATGGGGATTACTTTGAAGGGGACAAAATAGATATTCATGAATAATGAAAATTTTTTGAAAAAACACAAAATTCGCGATATTTGTTGAACACACCTCGTATGAGCATATATCAGCAAAATTCATTAGTACTAGAAAAAAATCACTAGATAGTAAACACTACAAACTGGTGGCTTGAAGAAACTTTGAAGCCGGATCCATATCTTATTTAAATCACTAAATATTGTTGTATTTAAATCATAAGAAACGAAAATTTAGCTTTTTTCCAGTGCTCGCCTTTGATGTAAAAGAGAATCATATTTCCAGTTTAGATTCGACCTGAGAATGCTTTACCATTCTTTTTTTTTTACATATAAAAAGCGAATTTATTTTACTACTACAACGGTATCTTCAATAGAACTCATGTAAACACACAAATTTGCGTATTAACATTTTAAACACTTTTTCTTTATTTCAATACACGCACCTCCACATACAAACAATCGTTATGCAAATAGTTTCGGCTCATCACAATTTTATGGGGTATATGGAAATACTGATTGTTCTGAATGAATTCATCATTTTTCTTCCGTACCAAAATCGTCTTGACATAGTCCTGTGACTCTTCCGAATTCGTATATTGAGCACGTATGATAATATCGGCCTGCAGACGACAGGGCCAAGGTAGCAGCGCATCATACTCGCCGGCTAGAACATTGAGGCAAGCGATCAAATTGCGACCCTTCCAAGTGCCTTTGCCATTCGGGTGTATATCAAGCTAGAAGTATGTATGTGCAAAGTACACATATACTAAAGTACACAATGCAATACGAAATTAATAGGCGTCAACTTACACGCAGTGCATATCCATATTGCTTATTCGAGAACATAGCGCTGTGCAGAATAGTTTCATATTGTTTAGCTTCATCCAACTTTTTCGAAAAGTCCTTGATGCGCCAAATTAAGTGTCCTGCAAAATAAATATATATGTAATAACTAATTAAGGTCAATACAATATATGTATATGTGACCGGTGCATACCTCTTGTGTTTTGCAGGCTTGCTAGACGCTGCTGTGTCGCCAAATGATTCTCTAAATCCGCCAGCGTTTGCATGTTCTGGTGCAGTTGCATATCCACTTGTTTTACCATATCTTCTAACTTCTCACAACGCTCTTCCGTTTCGCAAACAATGTTTTTCATGCTCTTCACCTCGAGGTCCATATTCGCCTGTTTAGCGTTCAAATCGCTGTTCGCGACAAATTTCGTTTTCAAATCACCATCAATAAGTTTTAGAAACTCTTCGATTTCTATGAATTTGTCACTATGAATGAAGGATTATTTTGTAAAGTAATTAGTAAAAGCTTCGCTATCGGTTCAATGTCAAAAATACCAACAGGCTCTTTTTTTCATTTTCCAATATCATTTCTTCCAGTTTCATAGTATTATCGTTCAAATGATTCACCTGCTCAGCCACTTCCATCGACAATCGCTGTATATTCTTTTCCAATGTCTCCATTTCACTTTGTATATCGGTCTTTACTTTCTGCAAGAGATTCGGCTTAACGTAGGTAAGCGATTAAAAAAATTGAAAATCAGCCAACCAACCTTTATCATATCAAAATTAGCCACATTGTCTTTATAGGACTCGCTCACTTCGAACTGTCGCTGCACAATCTCTTCGTTAAGCAGCGCTTTCAGACCGTTCACATTTTCTGCGGTCTCATGTTTCCAGTCTTCTAGAACCTGATTATATTTGCGCAAATTGCCAACATCTGTGATCAGATGCAATCTCTGGCCAATCTCTTCGTTGAGCACTGAACGTAAGGCACTCAAATCTTTCTCGAATTGGGTCAATCGATTGTCCATGAATTGGTCGAGGCGTTCGAGACTGTTAGATTGCGGTTGTTGGCTTCTGGCACGCGGACACTCTTTTAAGTGCGTGCGCATACGTATTCGCGGCACAAAGGCGTTGCAATTGTTCGGGCATTGCTCAAGCACTTGACCGCAGTGTATGAGGTGCTCCTGCAAATAGAAAAAGGAAAGTGAAACAGTGTTGGATTTTGAGTTAATTTTAGAAAAATTGAAGTTGTTGCAAAATAATAGGTAGAAAATAGCATGGACATAGCATAGCTACGGGGCCTCATTCTCCTAGTAGTCCCTACCATACGCTGGGTGAGACGAATTACAGTCATTGAGAACATAAATAAATGGGTGTAGGGCAATTAAAACAATTTCTCAGGGAGCGTTGGCTTCTGCTTTGTATTTCAAATCTACTGTTATATAAGACAAGTTGATAAAGCATTTTATAAAAAGTATATTGTTTTCGAGTCTGAAACACATTTTCTCAGCGTAAAACTCTTTAAAAATATATTTAATTTAAATTTTCTTCAACACAAGGGCTGAAAGGTACCGGTCGTAATACATAGACGACGCTAATTTTGAAGCATTCACTGCTTTTACTGTTAGTACCACTTTGTTGGTTTTATGTTGCATGATAAGCAAAACAGTGAGTGCCAAGCTTGTTTACTTTTGACCGAAAACAAGTACCGTAAACCTAACGTACCGAAATATGTCAACGATGTGTGACAGTGGATGAAACCAGGATCCATTACATCACTGCGGTCGTCCTTTGAATGAACAGCAACTTCGTTCCCGTGACTTCGTTCAATGCAAGCACAATAATCAGCTGAAATTTTATGACCTCGGTTTTTCGGTATCTTGGAAAGAAATATGTCATTGACATGGTAAATTATGGAAGGTTAAGTCCCAAGCTCGCAAGCCAATCAAAACAATGGGAAAACTACATGAATTCAACTTGGTTCACCGTACATCGTACACCGGTTTTCGCCAGATATGACTTCTCCTGCAACTACTCTCTCAAAAGAGTAGATTATCGTTGACACTTTTGACCATTTTGTGGCAAAATTAAATCGCCGTACAAAGTGATATTGAAACGCTAGAGAGTCGTTGGAATGGTTCTGTGGCTCTTGATGGAGACGACGTTGATGAAACCGTGTTTTTTTTATTAGACTCTGGACTTTTTTGTTCTTGTACATATTGAAGTTGAAGATCAGCGTTTGGATGAAATCATGTATTTAACTAATTTTCTTTGAGAATGAGATGAGGTTATTTCAAAGAAACTCAAAAACTTGCAGTAACCAATTTGGAGTATTAGAATTTAAAACTAGTATTTTTGTCAAAGTTTTAATGAGAAAAAATTGAAATTGAGTTAGTAAAATAAATTAAAACTTTCTCTTCGTAAAATCAATGTTATGCATGAGCTATTATAAGAAATGATGGAGGCAAACGTTTGCATCTGAAAGAATGTTGCAATCTCGTATTAGTTAGAGTGCATAGATTACGAAGAGTTGCGAAATACTACCATCAAATCATATACAAGGGTTTCGTATTGCTATTATTTACCATTGTGCTTGAGTTCAACGCCTTTTTCAGCATTCAAAACAAAACTTAATATAATAACTAAATAGAGTAGAGATCGGTTAGACATAGTGGAGTGTTTTGAATTTATTAAACTTAATGTTAATAAATTTATACTAATATATAATACATAATACATTGGGCGCTTTTAGCCAATCTGCTCCTCCAATTTGTAGTGTGCGTTCTCATGTTTTTATAACAATTCGGGGAACTTACAATATATTCTGAGCTGCTTCCCAACGTTTGATGAGTTTTTATGAGAAGCTGCTAACCGCTCGCAATTTAAAAATATAATACAATACATTTGGATGTTTTTCTGTCAAGGAATCACACAAGTGGTAGAACGGCTAGTGCGCCGCCAAACTCCATGCAAATGGATCAAATATAAGGATACAAGAACAGTAAACATCTAACTCAGTAATTTAATTATATTTATCAACTTTTACAAAGTAAAGGTCGCAATTATTTTGTGCGAGGCAATAATGTTTGGTACACATACGCATGTACTTAGATATACACAAGCCATTTATGTTATTTCAAATATTTAATTAAAGCATACCGTTCTTATCGCTTCAACCTCGAATTCGAATTTTTTATCTTTAATGGTCACATATTTGATACAATGTTATTTTTGAAAGAAAACTTTTGTATTATTTTAGTTTTCATGTCGTTGGATAAAATAAAATAATATAAAAATGTAAAATAAAAAATAGCAAAATAAATTGAAATTAATATGAAATCAAATAAAATGGAGTAAACTAATAATAAATTAAATTAAATTTAACATAATAATATTAAATAAAATAAAGTGGAATAAGATGATAAAATAAGTTAAAATAAATAAAGATTAAAATAAATTTAACACAAATAATTAAAATTAAATGAAATACAATATAAATTATACAATTGAATTAAATAATATAAATAGAGAATTAAAAAATAAAAAATAATGTTTCAAATAAAATAAAATGAAATTAAAATAAGTAGTAAAAAAATAATAATTAAAACCAAAAAATTAAATAAATATATCAAAATAAAATAAAAGCGATATAATAGAACAATAAAAAAACTACTTTAAAAATTAAAAAACAGAATTGAATAAAATAAAACAAAAAAATGGAATAAAATGAAAAGAAATAAATTAAAATAAAATAAAATGAAACAAATAAAGTAATAAATAAAATTAAATATAAATAAAACAAAATTAATTAATACAGAATCAAATAAATAAATTGAAATAAAAAGTACAATAAATTAAATTTATTAATAAAATATAATAAGATAATATATAAAAAAAAATAAAACAAAGCAAATAAAGCTAATTAAACTAGAATAATACCACACTAAATTGAAATAAATTAATTATTATGTTCTAAAGTAAAGTAAAAAAAAGTAAATAAAACAAACAAATAAAATGTAATAAAATAAAATAGAATAATATTAATTAAATTAAATTACATATAATGATAAAAAAAATATACAGAATAGAAAATAATAAAATAAAATTTCTAAATTTATTTAATTTTAATAATATAAAATAAAAAGAAATAATATAAAATAGAATAAAATAAAAAAAAAAAAACAAATAAAGAATAAAACAAATAAAACAAAACAATTAAAAACTTAATAATATATAAAAAGGCTAAAAAACTAAGAAGAAATTAAATATTATATTATAAAATAAAATAGAATTAATTAAAATAAAACATTTTGTATAAATTAAAATGAAATAAAAAATAATTTACTTTAAGATAAAATAAAAAAGTAAAATAAAATAAAGAGTTCTAAATTAATTTAATTATAATCAAAAATAATAATTTAAATAAATATAATAAAATTAAAATAATATAAATATAATAAAATAAAAGGAGCAAAACAATTAAAAAATAATATTAATAAAATAATAAATAAAAACACTAATAGTTCTAAAAAAATTAGTATAAATTAAATATAATATTATAAAATAAAATAGAATTAATTAAAATAAAACATATTAAATAAAATAAAATGAAATAAAAATAAAATAAAGTAAAGTAAAATAAAATAAAACGTTTTTATACATAATAAAATAAATAAGAGTACAATAAGTTTGTTACAATAAAGTAAAATAGAATAAGAAAAAATAGAATGAAATAAAATACAATACAATAAAAAAATAAATCAAAATAAAATAGTAGATACTAATTTCAATTAGAATAAATCAATTGGAATATATTAAACCAGTCAAAATGACTTAACTTAATTCTATTCGCATTAATTTAAAAATTTTTAAATATTAAATACGCACCGTAAAAGTTTGTGAGTCGAACCATTCATTGCAGAATAAGCATGAAGACTTCTCATATTTCAGAACAGTCGTTTTCCCGTTTAATGATGAAGAACTATTCGTGGTGCGAGTATAATTATTGTCATTCGTAGCCATGATGTGCATATGTTTGAATGTAGAGTGGGCTATTTCGATACAACTGATACTTTTTTACTTTAGTAGTATAGCGTGTAATTGAGATAATTCATCTAGACTGTAGTTTCACTCAATACCACTGATTGTCAATAGCAAAGACAGGCAGTATTTCCCGCTGATTCTTCTGGTACTTGATTACGACAACTAATTATCACCTCAACTGGTTCATAACAATTAGCCAAATTGCTTGCGACCATGTACAATCGTACGTAAGTAGTTTAGATGGATTTACTGCCACACATTACTACACTACTTATTTTGTCTTAATGATATATATATAATATATATATATGTGTGTATGTACAAATTTAGCACGCTTCTTCCCACACCTATCCAATAATTACCGTCGCGGCTCTATGGAAGCAGAAATAATTTATGAAACGTAATGACAACGAATCGTTAAGCGAAACAACTCTGTGACGACTAAATTTCTCAATTGAATGTAGGCAGCTATAGGCGAATGGGCGGATGGAAATAAAAAACATTCAAATAAAAAATACATAAAGAACAAAATTGAAGTAAAGTTATATCAAAATTTCATACACATAGAAGTAAAAGATAAAAAAAAGCACCACTACCAAAGGGCAATTAATTGGTATAAGAGCAAGAGCAACATATACTTTATATATTACATATTTACTAAATATATGTATGTACATATGCACCTACATATACATATGTACTGAGTCGTGTAGCAATATCTATATTTGATTGTGTCCGTATTATCAGCTGGTCTAACAACAACAGTGCACGGTAATATTGTGATAACAGTATAATGATAACGAAAGTGTAATGCAGAAATATTTGCGTCTATATTATATGTTAATGTACATACATACATATAATATTATATTATATATAGCGTTTATACATTAAGGTGCGTCCTATTTGTGATTTGAATTCAGCCAAAAAGCGCTCTTTTCAGAAAAGTTGTTTTGTTCAAAAACGGTTTCCTTGCTTAATGAAATCCCATAAATTGCTGTGTATATGGCGCAGTTTTTCAAATTTTTCCTTTGAGAATATCTAAAGAGACCTATCTAGAGATCGACGCTTCACAAGCCAGGCACAGGCTATTGCACAAAGTACATTTATACTATAACTGGTGTAAGAATTTCATGTTTGTACATATATATGTATGTCATTACTTGTTTTTTACTTCCACCCATTAAATTCACCTGTTGGCCTTTATTTAGACAGCAGCGTGCCGGCTTAGTAATTATCAATATTTTCGAAGAAAGGTGAATCATTTAACTCACCGTCACCCTATTTTTGTGCCGCGCAGCCGATAAATTTGTACACAGAAATGTGCGATTGCAAAGATAAAAGCAAAACAAATAACTGTTGAATGATAGAATGTGGTAACAAGAAAACAATATGCGACGAATATTAGCACAACTTATATTTTCGAAGTAAGTAACAGAGAGGTCATAACCTCCAGCTGCAATTTTATTTGTAGTGATGAGATGGGTTATATATCCACGTGTATGTACCAGGAGATTAAAAAAAGCTTGCTAAGTTGACCGAAAAAAAAAAATAGAATTCTTTTTGTATTTATTCGTAATCTCTGTCCTTTTTTATATTCTCTACATAATCGCCATTGATTTCAATGCATTTCTTAAGCTTATAGATTCACTTCTGAAAACAGTTTTCAAAATCTTGCTTTTATGTTTATCAAGTTCAACATTAACGGAATTAATAATCTCCTCGGTGCTATTAAAGACCTTTCCTTTCAAATTATTATTAATTTTCTGAAATAACCTGTAATCATGGGGTGCTATATATGAAGAATATTGAGCTGGATGAATTTCTCCGACCCCAGAGATCGTATTAATATTACTTCTCATTTCAGCAGTGTGAGATGTTGCGTTGTCATGATGAAAAAAGTAGCGCGGCAAATCCTCTTTATTCCTGTTTTCCAACAAATTTTTGAAAACTTTTGGTAAGCGCTCTTCGATGAATCCTTTTGCAGTTACCGCCTGACCCTTTTCCAGTAGAATAGCAGCAACGATTTTAGATCGGGTGAGGTAAACTGACTCCATAACTTTTGCTGCTGATTTTTTTTGCTTAGATTTTTCGGGTGGACTTGCTGCTGTTGGGCCCCATACCATGGTATAGTATGCTGCTTGGTTTCTGGATCATACTTATAGAATACAGATTCGTCACCAGTGACGACTTTACTCAAGTGACCATTTTCGAATTTTCTTAAGAGAAATTCAGCAAAATGCACTCGAACCTCGTTTTGGGTCTCATTAAAAATTTGTGGTACCCATTGAACAGATTTCTTTGTGTATCCCAGATGATTACTTAAAATTCGCGTTACAGCTTTGATATTCAAGCCTAATTCATTTGGAATTGTGTCAATCGTGGGTCTTTGTTAATTTTGGACTTTACCAGAGCTGCAATGACGTCATTAGTGGAAGATTTTGTTCGACCTTCTCGGGCCTCGTCCTGTACCGAGAAATTTCCGGTCAGGAATCATCGGAAGAACTTAGAAATAGTCCTTAAAGATGGTGCCAACGCGCAAAGGACCATAAATCTTACACAAAACCATTCTATGGAAAACTCCTAACGCCGACCCATCAGATGTTGTCATCGTCCATGCGCCACTCACAAGGCAATCAGCTTGCTTAGGGAGATTTTAGTCTTTCACATAACACGCTGGATAGAGCTTTAAATGTGATATTTAAGAGGCTGATCTCACGGTAGTTGACGTTGCCAGGACTGCCCTTTTTGTGTATTGGGCGGAACACACATAGATTCCAATCGGCGGACAAGTTTTCTTCCGATCATGTTTTGCAAAGAAACTATTACGTGAATCTTATCCATTCTTCACCGCCGTATTCGTATAGCCCGGCCGCCAATCCATTTGCCTACTCTACTCTGTTGTTTTTCCTACTCTACTCTGTTGTTTTTCAAATTCGCCACTGCAGCTTGGATAAGTGTTCCTTCCACAAATTCAGTATACTCTTGCCATCAGTTACTATATCACCTCCCTGAGTGAAAGTTACCTTTGAATCTTTCTTTTTTTCTGAACTGAGACTGGCTTTCCTCTTCAATCGCTCGGTATCTACCTTCTCCGCACGTGTAGTGTTGATCGCAACTAACCGAGTTAGGCAGAATATGTCTTCTCCACGGCGGCAGAGCGATCCTGATCGTGCCGGCTAATTTTGCGACCATTTCGAAAACCAAAAGTTTCATTTGCAGCTGTACGTAGAGAGCTAGATATTCCGTTCAACAGTTCCCCTATACCAAGTGACTTTGAACCTTGCTTGGAGTGCACACACGAGAAACACACTGGATACATCTTGACCGTCAATCCCAACATCTGGTTTTAAGCTTTTTGATTTGAACACAGCCAAGTAGTTTGCTGCATTTTCTTGTGCTGTAATCTGATACTGCAGATATCCATATTTCGGTGGAGACGATAAGCCTCCGCCCATTTGGTAGCGTTTGGTTGTGGACAGTAGATCGACTGTTGAGCCGAAGATACCTTCTTTGTCCACCCACGCACTAAAGCCGACGTTGCACTGTATTCTCCTCGGTCACGTCGCCCTTTTCTTCTCTTTTTTTATTCGAGACTATCATCCACCGTGGTGAATGTCAGTACTCGGCGACAGAGTCTCTGTCCCACATCGAATCCGAAACCAAATTTTAATTTGGCGAGGACATCAACCAGCTGGGCAGCCGCATCTTCCCAATGAAGGGACTGAACTCCAAGTGCATGCCCTCAAATCGTGACCCTTAATAGGCTTGCTGTGGTCGTCATCAAAAACAAGGTGTCTCGTCTACGGCGTTGTATAACTTTTTATTGCAGCTGCTTTCCAGGTGCCGGCATCCAAACACAGCTCAATAATAGCAAGCCGTTTGCTGAAAGACCTATGTCCGCTCACAGCAGCACCTCTGATGAACAGACGCCGAATCATAAACCAAATATATTGGAAAAATTGGCTTATTTTTGTAAAATTTATATTAAACAAATTTCGACTCCAAGAACTAAAATAAATTGAGTGTATTATAAAAAATGCTAAAGTGAGTAAACGCCAATTTTATTGAGGCGGTTCAGCTTCTCTATGAAAAACTATATATTAAATATTTTTACTTGAAAATAGGATATATACTCGTATGTATATGCATAATGGCGATGAAAACCATTTTCGACCGAGCTCCTGCTCCGATTTGTGGTTTTTTGCGTCCTGCCTTTTTTCCAGTAAATTAGAGATCTTCAGTTTATTCCAAGTCGCCTCCGATCGTCGGAAGAATGGCGACTGCAATTTGAAAAATTATTTTCTTTAATTTGGATGTCAATCGAACCAGAACTTGAACCATAGCCTTCCGAATAGCAGCATGATCGGCTATTGCGTTTTTTTCATGATTTCAATTCTAATTTCTTATTAAAATATATAATCACGTGCAATATGCTACAAATTGACTTAATTACAATTGGATTTAACGGCAGATAAGTAAGCTTTTGCTACTTTGCCTCTGAAGCTCTTAACACGCTTCAGCGTCATTCCCATAAAAACAAGCATTTCAAGTGCTTGCCAATTCACGTGTCTTCAACACCTTCTATAGAACAACGCAATGAACACTGAAATGAAGTAGAAAAATTAATAGCATACATACTCACGCACAAAGAGTGGGCAAACAGAATTTTTTTTTAAAGGAAGGTGACCAGTTGTGATTTAGAATGTTACCAATCTGCCTTTTAATTTCGACTGGTTTAGTTTTTATCCTCCTGCTTCTGAAATTTTGGCAATACTATTTATTATATCACATGAATCGCAAGCTTTACCTATATACAACAGCTCATTCTCGTTAAGATTACTATTTATTTATGCCTATTTGCATATCAGAACTTTATCACAAGTTTTGCTTCTAGCTCTCATGCGGTATTCGCTCCTCCCCAATTCGTAGGGAACCACAGATCTTACCCAAACTCCTAACGCCGACTCATCAGATGTTCTCATCGCCCATGCTTCCGCATCATATAGCTGTTCAAAGTAGCAGCTGTTGGCAAGAGTGATTCAGCGTGGGATTTCCAGGCAGACATTGTTGTTGGTATTTATGCTGTTTCCAAATAGACGAAATTATCTTCGATTTCAAAGTTATGAATGTCAACAGTGACATGGGAGCCGAGTCGACTATGTTATGACTGTTTGTTTGATGACAGAAGATATTTCGTCTCGCCCTCATTCACTGCCAGACCCATATCCTTCGCTTCCTTATCCAGTCTAGAAAAAGCAAAACTCAAGACGCATTTGTTGAGGCCAGACTTACCTTACCGCAGATAAGTTCTCACAGATCTCATCCGCTGGGGTACAAATTAATTCGTTCCTTTCTAAAAAAAATGGCTCCACCACCTTCTCCTCGTTCTCTTCCAAGATGTGGCTGATTTTGAAAGCGATTACCTATATCATTGGAAAAGT